TGTGTGTGTGTGTGTTTGTGTGTGTGTCACTCTCCCCCTCTGGCTGAACAACAGGTTCTGTGGGACAAGAGGTTTTGAGTGTTTGGATTTAAATGTCAATTGTACCTGTGTGGGCTGAAAGCATCGTAGATACAGCAGCAGCAGCATTATCTGTTCTGTGTGTGTGTGTGTGTTGTGTCACCGCACACTGAGGTGAAAATACTAAATATATATTTTAAATACATTCACACCATTTTTTCTATGTCTCCTGGGGCGTGGATCTAAATCACAGACTTTAAATAAAGATGGTCGACGCGTTGAAATATCCTGGATACAAAATCTGCCACTCAACCAATCCCGAGCCGGTCTCAGCTGTCAATCATGACGTTTAACCTTGTTTTTATATCATCAAATAACAAATTAAAACCAGTTCTACCTCAGCGGGGAAGCGTAAGGACGAATTATCGTGTGGTTACAAATTTGAATTTCACTGCACCTGATCCTCTCGGAGTCAGACGGGTGGGGCATGTGCGTCCACGCCGCCTCCTCCATGGCCTGTTGGTAGAGCTGGTCTTTGGACACGGGCACCGGCCCCAGTGGGCAGACCCCCAACGACGGGGGGATGCTGACCTCTGACAGCGAGGTCTGAGGCGCTGACGGGGGGCCGGAGGAGGCTGTAGTGCTGCTGGGGAAGATGTCTGAGGAGAGGACGGAGATAGAAACGTCAGAAAACCCTCAGGACCGAGGTGGTCGTTTTCAAACAGTGCTTATTTCTTTAGAGACGTTTTTTTATTTGACGCCTTAGGTCTTAGTAGGTTAATGTCAGAGCCCAGATGAACGAGGGAAGAAAAGAGTGCCGGAGAGGGAAAATGAGGATGGAGGGATTCAGGATTCAGAGAATTTGAGTCAGGGACGATAAATCATCAGCAGTTTTTGCTCAGAGGAGGATGAGTGTGGGAGGTGAGATGACACTTTGCTCTGTTAAACTGCAGCTTTCCTATTTCTGCTCCGTGGCAACCCTCTCTCTCCTTTTATTCAGCTCCATGCACAGTGTGTGTGTCCGTGTGTGTGTGTGCGTGTTAATGTGTGTGTTACCTGGGGTGAGGTGCAGGGAAGGCACGTCTCCCTCCATCCCTGAGCTGAGTGCTGCTCGCTCGGCCATGGACTTCAGGCTGCTCAGAGGCTCCTGGGGCTGATGAGGAGAGACAAGAGGAGAGACTCATGGGAAAACAGATTCTCCTGGTCGTGGGTTATCGGAGTTATCCTTCCTGCCCTTACGGGGGAACTCAACTTCCACCCACCAGTGACAACACTGTCATGGAAATCATTTTGGCTTTGCTTTTTGGGCTGTTTGAATCGGTGTGCTGCCGGGCCCCTCCACCCAAACGGAACAAAAACGTTTATATTGCCAAGAGAATTTTATTTTCCCATACCTCGTCTTTCAGGGTCATGTTGTCTTCAAACAGGGTCGTGTTTTCCGAATCGATTAGAAGGTTTTCTTTTTGTGGTAGACATGAAAACTCGGACCTTGGTATTTTCAGAAAGCTCAGAGTTCCTGAGCTGTGACACTAGAAAGTAAATAAAGATGGATGACATTACAGAGGCCCAAAGAGAGGCCAAATCATTTTGGATGCCCCCTGGTGGGTGTTTGCAGAATAGATGACATTACAGAAATCTTTTCCCCCCCAGATTCTGGTGGACGTTAATGTTTCATTGAAGCGGAAGTAAAGAGAAGACACGACAGCAACGTTAATATGAGCGCAGATATCACATCATGTACACGACATCCCACATCCTAACATTAATATGAGGGATACTTGCTGTATTTTTAAAAGGATACTAAAGGTCTATCTTTTTAATCTGACTCTAAACCATTGGTTTTATATTTATCTTTATCCAGCGAGCAGCGATGATATCAATGTGTGAACTCTGACTGTAGATATCTACTGTGGGACTCCTGTTAACTGCTCCCATCGAGTATAAATCAACTTTATTGCCCAATGTGTTGAGCCCCTTGTGGCTGAGTGGGTGCAAATCCCTGCTGCTGACTGAAACCAGAAGAGTGGAGGCTGTCACAGCAACAGTTTCTATATTCACACATCACGAGTGTTTGTATTCTCACCTTGATGCTATCAGAGGATTGTGAGAAGGACAGCGGCCCGTTCAGCAGGCTGCCGCCGCTCACCATTTTGGCATCGCTGTAGGAGCCCGGTGATGGAGAGCTGGACGACAAAGTGATAGAGCCCAGTAGACTGGGACCAGTATCCTTACTGGATGAGAGGAGGAGAGGAGGAACAGAGGGTCAGCAGGTCAGAGAGAGGGACACACACCAGTTTGGTTTATTTAAAACTAGCAGATAAACCACAGTGGTAAACTGCTCCTTCAGACTCACGGCTGATTGGCTGTGGAGGTCAAAGATGAGGGTTGGCTGTTTTGTGATTGGCTGACACTGTTGAGGGCGGAGTCTGCTGTGCTGTCGGCCACCACGGCACTGTAACCTGCGTGACGAGGAGACAGACAGTCTGAGTATTCAACTGAAATTGGTCATGAAGTTCAAAACTGCCTTTAATTTATTTAAGAGGAGCAACCAGTAGTAAAGTTAGTCTGTGTCACATGACCCAGGAGTTTTATCATTTCTAACTTTTGATGATTCTTCTGATGAAGGTCCAGAGATGCTGGAAAGCCACTGAGCATCACTTCTGCAGACAGATACTCACTAGTGCTGCCGTTCTGCTTCTGTCGGCTCGGCGGTCTGACAGAGAGTGACGAGTTTCCTCCCACCACTCCGCTCCCCACTGATCCCGAGCTGCCTCCGTTGCTCCCGATGACTCCTACTCCGCTTCCTGGAGCCAGGCCCCCCACCTGGCTCGGGGACATCAGAGACAGCCCCTGCATCCCCGACTGGCTGGAGCCCAAACCCAGAATCCCAGAGCCGATGCTGCCCATCGCTGTCGATGCGCCCAGCAGACCTCCTGAAGAAGATGTCGGCCCGCCGACTGTGATGTTCCCACTGCCGATGGAGCCCAGCGCGCTGTTGGTGGTCGTGGTGCTGACGCCTCCCAGAGAGCCCGGTAAGCCAGGTAAGCCGGAGCCAACCGCACCTGAGGCGGCTGCCTGAGCGTACGGTGCTGGAGTGGAGCTGGATAGAAGGCTCGCCATGGTGCTCAGGGATGCCGGCATCCCTGATAAACCGAGGCCCCCGGACATCGGGCTGGTGGTGAGGGAGCTGGACATGCCGCCTTTCCCCAGAGAGAGCCCCAGACCGAGGCCGAAGCTGTTGGAGGTCTGCGTGGGCCCTGATGGAGGCGGGGGCAGGGAGTTTGAAGTCAGGAGCCCCTGTGTGCTGGCGTTGGGGGGAGAGGAGGTGGAGGAGGTGGGGTGGCTGTTGGTGCTGGGGCAGGCTATCGGTGCAGAGGAGGAGAGGCTCACTGAGTTTTTGGCCGGCTGTTGCTGTGCTGATGGGTGCGGCGGCTGCTGGGTGGCGTTGCTGTAGCTGCCAGCGGAGGTGTTGGAGAGGAGACCCCCCGAGTTGGTGTAATGACTGTTGCCCCCAGAGGCGCTGCCTCCACCCCCGGCGATGGTCGCCATAGAGACCAGCGAGGAGGGGGTCAGCCCTGAGACGGAGGAAGAGGAGGAGGAGGAAGAGGAGGAGGAAGAAGAGGAGGAGGAGGAAGAGGATAACGAGGAGGAAGGGTTTCCGTTCTTCACAGGTGACTGAAAAAGAAATAGGAAAACTTGTTTGATGTAAACTGCTCCTCTTCAGACTGATGAATTATTTCACTCCAGGCAGCCGGAGCGCTGAACGTTACGTTCAATGCTCGGGCTGCCTGGAGATAATATCCCAAATATTCACACAACAATAATAAACATGTCTGTCTGTGTTCCCGGAGGCTGCAGTCACAGAAACAAGAGACGTGTCCAGCGTGTGTGGACTCACCTGACTAACTTCACTGTCTGTCGAACGTCCTCTCTTCTTGTCATCCTCTGAGTTCTCCTGAAAAAACCAAGCGCAATAAGCGTTAAAAACTCGACAAAGTCAAGTTGCAGTTTACATCCAACTCATATTCTATCACACGTAGATGTGCAGAACTTGAAAGGTTCATCTTTGGGTCCAAGTGAACATTCGTTCCAAATTTGAAGACATTTCCTCGAGTTCTGTTTTTTCACCCACTGGTTTGTGAGCTGCAGTTTTGAAACCTCAGTTTTTTTTAAACAGGTTTCCGACACGTTCGTCTTTATTGTCCAGACCTGGAATCTACGTCCATTTTCAGATGTTTATGGGACAAAGAACTTGACCTTTGACCTACGACCACTAAACTCTAACCAGATAAGCTTTAATCTAATTTGAAGAACTGTACCCTCATGGTTGATGCACTAATTGTAAGCCGCTTCAGCTAAATGATATTTAATGTAATGTCACATGTTTCTTTTTTATCTTAATTTTAAATTTCTGCTCTTTTTTTTTGGTGAGTGGATAATCGTTTTCCTCTGAAGCTGTATTCAGGTGCTGTCTATTAGAAAAGTTGCTTTTTAAAAACACGTTTGAGTCGCGAGACTCGACTGTGACTGTGCCGAACAGCGCTCAAGTCTCAGTTTAAACTGCTCCTGGATAATTAAAAGTTTAACTACAACCAGCTGAACTTCTGCTTTCCCAGGAGTCCTTGAACATCTCATCCTTTACATTCACCTTGATGCCAAAGTATAGCTTCCTGCCAGCAGCGTTTAACGGCTCCACGCCTTCTATTCAGACACATCAGACATATAATAAGTCCTCTCGCTGCGTACTGTCGGTGGGCGGATCGGAAGAACAGATGATATAATGGTAACACAGCAGAACAATGAGAGCAGATGGCAGGGCACTAAAATCACAGATACAAAGGCAATTATCTCGTAATTATGTTTTGGATGTTGGCCCGACTTGACTTGACTTCTCACTTTCACTGCTTCACTTTCAGAAATGAGATTGTTTCAACTGTTTGATTGGGTCATTGAAGAGATACTAATGAGGCAGATTGATTTTGGTGGAACAGCAGAGGTCGAGAGACGCTCGGTTACTTTTTTCAATTTGACTCACGAGATTTAACGTTGGAGAACAAACAATAAAAGAAATGAGTAAACCCTCTAAAAAAAAGTGATTTGACACCTTTCCCATAGCCAGTAGAGGAGTTCGTTTGAGTCACGTTCGACACCACAAACGCTCCAGAAACCAACGTGTCGGAAACACAACAAACAGCCGGAGAAAAGCTTCACGGAGCAGCTGATCGGTGATAAATTCCCTCATATTACAGACAAAAGCTACACGTGAATGTCTCTAGTTAATCCTAATCTTTATGTTACTGTATGAAAAATCTCAAACTTTATGTTTTTATACTCACTAAATCCCAAATGTTGCATTCATTTCCTGACCGGAAACAGACACAAAGTCGATGTAAAAAGCGCAGCGATGTCAATTTGTGGATTTCATACCGTAGTGCAAGTAGCAGGTGAGGGGGGGATGGGTGAAGATGAGGTGGTGGAGGTGGGTGTGCTGCTGGAGTGCTGGAAGATCTCGTCCTCCAAGTGCGAGTGTCCCGGCGGGGAGGTGGCGACCAGCGTCTGAGCTGGAGGGAGCAGAGACACAGAGGGAGAAGAGGTCAGCAACAGTCTCGAGCTGATGGAAGAAACAGTGTTAACACGTCGACTCGCACAAGCTTCACTGAACTTGGGTGCATTTAACTTGTGGACCAGACCACCTGAGCCGAGACTCACACCCTGCTCACACTAATGAGGAGATTTTTCCAAAACAAGCCTCTCCCTGTGTTTGAGCCTCTCGTCCAAACACAGACGACGTCTCAAGCCACTAAAACCATGATTCAGTGCTCGGTGCAAAAACTGTGCATCCGTGTGTCAGAGACAACGACAATAATGGCAGCTAAAACCGGTTGACAGGAGAACAAGCTCACCAAGCATGCTCACAGAGTTCTTCTATGGTATATGATGGAGAGTTGATGTGGACTTTATCGCCACCTACTGGCCCGGCATGCTTGTTTAAGCGTCTGAGGAACTGAGGGGAAATGTCTGAGAAAATATCCAGAGTAGTGTAGACAAGGCCTCACACTGATCTGATGTAAGATCCACAGAGATGTGCAATAATCCTGCACTGAAGTCAGGAGTGAAGGTCATGGACGCCGCTGTGGTTCGGCAGCTACACTGATGGGAAATTCAAAATGTAATTACGCGACAGTCTCCTGATGAACAGCGGCGCTTTAAACGACTGAGCCTCTGAATCATCTCCACGATACATAAACCAAACCGCTGCTCGAAGCCGCCTCACGAGCAGAGTCTCATGGTGCAGCTTAAAAACAACTCGATTTACTCTCTGGAGCTTTAGATGCTTTAAAAGTTTTAAATTATTTATTGCAAACAACAACAGTGTTGTTATTGTGAATTTGCATCTGTTGCTACTTTCCTCCTGATACTTTGAGGTTTCACTTCTGCTGTTTGCGCCTGACGTCAACATGACTCCTGAGTTTTCTAGCCCTTAAAATGTGGGGGTTGTGGAATCGCTGCCGGTCTGTTATAGTTTGAAAAACTTGTATTTTCATCTGGACGGACTCAAATTTAAAAAAGAGAACGTACTAGCGTGGACGCAGCCTGTAAGAGTGTTGCACAATCCAGTTAACGGTGATGATTAGGTGGTTTGGATGCCGTTATCCGTAGTTATCTCACTTTAGTGGGTTAAATCCGGTTCTGTCTCTACTTACGAATGTCCTCCAGATCCAGGTCGTCGTACAGAAACTCGTTCTCCTCAAAGTCTGGATCCTGCGACGAGTCTATGTAGTACTCCACATCATCCTGAAATCAAGGAAATGATCATATGCGCATTCGTTTTGAAAAGAAATGTCATGAATCATATTTTTCAAGTTTTACACTAATGATTTTCCATAGAAGAAGAATGTTACAGTGCAGTTCGTCAGTTAGGAATCATATGAATACGAAAACAAAAGGTTTTCAGAAGCAACAAGACAAACTGTAAAGAATACGAAGAACACTTCAGTCCCACAGTTTTTTCTAAAGACTTGAACAAACCTTGATCTTCCTGATGGAGTCCACCTGCACTGAGTCGTTGTCCAGCATCCTCAGTATTGTTTCCAGCATCCGGATGTGGTATCGATGCTTCTCGATGAACTTCTTCAGCTCCTCGATCCGGTCCTGCTTCTGCACAATGACAAATGGATCGAGGCAGCGAGGACATTAGTTCAAACTCTGACTTCCGTCCTCCCAGACGTTGGGTTTAAAGTTTTAAGACACTGGAACATGTTAAGATTTTCCTTCTGAATGTTTGTCTCTGCACAAACTTTGACATTTGATTGAGATAGCGTCACACTAAAAAAGATCTCGAAGCAGCTAAAGAAATCTTCAGTCTGGAACCATGGACACGCCTCTTCCGTGCCTAAATACATCTCAAAAACGTTTCTTTCATTTTAGGTTGTTTTAAATCACAAGTGCTCATGTTTCCGACAAGTTCGGTTTTAATTCATTATTTGATGATATAAAAACTGGGTGACACTAACAGGTGATTGTATTACGATGACTACTGCACAGACTCTAGCTACAAAACGAAATGAAGTCGTCGGCACAAGACGGCGTTCGTATCTGGATAGTTTGGCTTCATTTCTGGATAGTGAGAGGACGCCTGCTTGTTGTATTTTTACTTTTACTTTATTCCATTAGTTCCCCCCTGAAATCTGTAACGTGACCATGGGTACCTTGAAATAAGCTTAACAAATTCCTTCTCCTTTTGTTTGTCTATCTTTCTTTCAGCAGTGTTACTTAGAAACTACTGAACCCATTTATTTCTGATCTGGATAAACGGGCGAGTCCAGGAATCTCTTCCCCGCTCTCTTCAACATCAGCACACTTTCGCCCTGGCGGAGGTTCACTCTTGAGTGCTCCTCCGTTCGGTACAAAGATTCTTTCATTCCAATGCAAAGCGTAAGTTTTAATGAATTATTCATTCAAACAGTAAAGAACAAAATGGCTAAACAAGCATAAGGAGAAAAATCTGTTAAAAATTTAAAAGAATAAAAGAAACCGTGAGTAAACATATAGGAGGTTTAACAGCATGTGAGTGGGAGGTGCTGCTACGTTATTCACTTTACGGCTTAATGCATCGTTCGCACCACTTCTGATTTCAATATTTAATTCTTCAACTACTTCACAGTTAATTCATGTTCTGAAGCACTCGAGTGCGTCAAACACCTTTTATTATGTATTTATCCATATTTTGCTTATTTCTGTATTTCGGGGTCAAACGTGTTCCAGTTTATATCTTGACCAAAATTTCTTTTGCATGAAAGCTTCAGAACCGGAGCTGTGGACGCCTGACAGTACCGAGAGGACTATTAAAACACCACAGCTGTTCAAACACACACTTATGACGCGTGTTGTTTCGGCCACTACATTAGCGGAGGCAAGAGAGTGGAACATATTAATGTGTTTCATCTCAAAACATTAATGCTGCATCAGCACATGTCAGGAACACGAGGATTTCACTGTGCTGAGTGCAAACAGGCGACATTTTAATTCTTTATGTTCCACTCAACTAGTTATGTTTTATGGTACAAATTGTTTTTTTTGTCTCAGCCAACGTCACTTTTATTTATTTATGAAGATTAAAATAAGGCCGGTCAAGTTTCTGTAGCTCATTCAGCTGAAGGTATGTATGTATATATCTAACATGGAGTCTGGTGTTTTCATAAACAACACACCAACTAGTTTTTTTAAGTTAGGTCCATTTGCTAACATGGAGACTCGTACTACAGCCCGCCACCAGGGGGCGATTCAGATGTTTTGGCTCAACTTTTGGGAGCAGAGACTGAAGAAAGAGGAAGGGCGACACATCTCCACTTCCTCCCTCGGTCCAGGGATGAAGTAAAATTTGTATAGCTTGAAATAACTAATTAAACTTATCAGAAACAAATGACCATAGAATGACATGTACTTTGTGTTTTTAGTTTGGTCCATGTCCCATGTGCTAACATAGAGGAGGCAGAGTTTAAAACTTCGGTGCTGCGTTTCTTCTAACATCTCTAGACTTGGCCAGTGACACAAAAATAAAACCCCTCTGGCTCTCATTCATAAAAAGATCCTTTGTGCAAACTTCACGCTCGGAGCAAAAAATCTGAGTCAGTTACAGAGAAAGTCTCGATCCAAAGGAAATCAGTTGCAAATGTTTTCCTACTGTCATAACAAAGAAGTGATCTTTCTGAAGGGGAAAGTGTGCGGCTGCGCAGAACCTGCTCGATCTCGTGTTGTTTAAAATGACGGTCCTCTCATCAAGGCTAAAGTCAAAGAGCCTTTTCTATCAATGAGGCCCCTGGAGAGGACTTAAGAGACGTGGTCAGAGAGGTTATCCTCATCAGGGAGCGACAGAAGATGAATGGAGGACAGAGGAGCTCTGTGAGGCGGAGGGTCGACTGGCTGATCTGAGTTAATGGAGGGAAACGACACAGAGCAGAGAGGAACACAACGAATGAATCAGAGATGAGAATGAACTGACCTCCTTGTCTCCTTTCTTTTTTCTGGTCTGGACCGACAGAGACTCCACTTCACTCTCAAACTGATCCACCTGCATGTTTAACGTGTCAATCATATTCTGAGGAAAGAGAGGGAGAAAAACAAGAAGAGGAAGTTAATATCACAGCAAACGAGAACACGGTTCTGAAAAATTATTGAAGTGCTTGTCGGTGTTAAACGTGAGTCTGGATAAGAAGCTTTTGAGCTGAAATTCACATTTATTAGAGTTTTATTTGTTCCACGTCTGATTTTCATTCAAAAGCCCAGGAACAATTGGCGATGATGAAATAACATTAATCAACGAGTGCATAAAAGTTACCTGCAACATTCATCTGTCTTTGTTCTGTCTTAACATGTTTTCTGACCCATGATCATTTAATGATGTAATGAAACTCACTGTTAGCCACATCCCGACCTCCTCCTTCTCCCTCTGGGCCGGGTCGACCTTCTGAGCCAGGCCCAACCCTTCTTTTGAGTAGGCTTTCGTCTTGGTTTCTCTTTCCACTATCTTGAACCGCTCCATTTGCTGCAGACGGAAACAACAAAGATAATGTTCACGTTAACCCTTATGACTTAGTCTGAAACCTCACACGTCGATTTACAAACACGATCGAGGCGAGATAGAAGCATCTCTGAGAAAATCTATTACAACAGCACTTCAAACTGTTATCAGTGTTAAAACATTGAAAGTGACAGAATGTTACTGAATCTCAGATGATCCCAAAAAAATAAATAACAAAAATTAAAAAGGAAGCAAGAAAAGAAAGGTTCTGGATCAAAACCCGCAGGTATCTTAAAGTATTTATCTAATAATTCCAGAAGTCTGTGGCTCTCAAATCTCGAGAACAGTTCATCATATCAGCTTTAACATGTGTTTTAAGGGCTCGAAGAAGTGCAGTGCTGAATGAGGTGCCATTTGGACACGTAATCAGTTAAATACACATCACGAGAACATTGAATAAACACGTGATCAGCGCTCTGACTGAATGAATCTAAGTCCAGAAATATCTCTCAATTAGGACAGAAATTATAAATCTTTTAGGCAAATGTTTCCATCTCTACAGGAGCCTTGATAATTAC